AAATTTAGCTGCAGCCTGGAGGCGATTTTCCATCTTCGCAACAATCGCAGGGCTGTTTACACGTGCGAATTTAGTTGCGCGATATCAAAGTGGCGATTCATCACGCTGCAAAGTGTAACGGGCCTTTAGTAAATAAGATTTTACTTCACTTGTCCTTGATACATTAGACAGCAGAGACACGGCTTGATTTTTTAGCTTTGTAGCGTTGTCATTCAATAGTCTCCTTCACGGTTACCTGTGCCATCTTGAAAGGTAGCCGTGCCTTTGCATCGAAGCGAGACAACCTTTGAGCGTGCAATGATAGAAACCTTCTTTCACACCTACAGACAATTATTCACAGGTATCTATCATTGCACGCTCAACGGTTGTCTCGCTTCGACTTAAAGGCACGGCTAACTTTCAAGATGGCGCACCTAACCGTGAAGGGGAATATTGAATGACAACTCTACAAAGCTAAAAAATCAAGCCGTGTCTCTGCTGTCTAATGTATCAAGGACAAGTGAAGTAAACAAAGATCTATAGATAGAATCGTATCAAGTCCATATAAGGTCATAGACTTACTTATAAGGTCATAGACACTAAACACCTCCATGGAATGGTAATGCTGATGACACTCGTGCCACTGCCACTGAGCACGTGGGACGTCAGGTACGAACGACGCAAGACCTCTGTTTTCAATCCGTGTCGTAAAACGTAGCAGTCTACGTACGTAATGCTGGTTGTGGTCCCACTGACGGCGAGCACTAGACCCCAAACAGTTTTCTTCGTAAGAACATCTCAAATATCGTAAAGGTATCGCGTCGATACGTACGTGTCGCTCTAATTCTTCAACATTGACCACTAAATCCGGCAAGACTGCGGAGACGTAAACGTCAGGTAAAAAGTTCAGTTCTATAATCAGTTGCGTAATAGCTATTTCTTCGCAAGGTTTATACGTAAGACTTCACTGTTATTTTTCAAGGAGTTGATATAACTCTGTCAAGGGAGTTATATTTACTCCACCCAATGGAGTAACTTTAAAGGGAGTTGAATCTACAGCGTAATGAGATTAAAGTTAACTCCACCAGGGGCGATTTTAACTCCACTTTTAGTCTATATCGCTATATAGATAATTTTAACTAATATGCGGAGTTATATTAACTCCTAAAAAGGAGTCATCCTGTACCTTTTTCTTAACTCCACTTTTGGAGTTAAATCAACTCTCAAAAAATAACACTGTTGAACCTAATACCGCTACTAAAAACACTTAAAGAAATAGAAATAGATAGAAGTAAGAGTAACTAGGGTTTAAGGGCAAAGAACGTGTTGTTGATAATGATGAACGCGAAAATTCCATACCTTTAGTGCAGATAACGCCAGCTCTTAACAAGCTTTTACATCTTGTTTTATGAGGCAATGCTCGGGAACAATGAAACAGCGATATTTCACTGAGCTGCAACAATAATATTACATATTAMACTTAGACAGGGRCATCAGCGAATATAWAYRWRAATAKAG